CCCAGTCCACTTCTCTCATTCCTCCACCATCGTCAGCATCATCATCAAGCCAGCGCAATTCCTCTCGTCGACCGTGCTCATGCCAGCGCAGTGAGTGCAACAAGTTACCGCTCCGATACCAAATTTGCAAGGGACCTGACTGTCCACAACTTGCCAGAGTGTATCACATTGCATGCCAAAATATTATTCACACACATTATGAAGATTCACACAAAGCAAAGTCGAGCTGGGATGAGAACCAAGGTAGCACAACTTATATTATCACAACATCATTATAAAGAGTATCGCGAGTTCAGGAGCAAAGCGCTGAATATTATCACAAGTTTCTCTCTCGTTCATCAACGACACAAGGGTCTGGCTCTGCCAGCGCCTCCTTCAGATGACAATACAACGCAGAACAGGTAAGTATCCACCATAGCCAACTCAGGAACCTGCTCCTCTCTCTCTCTCTCTCTTTCTTCTCTCTCAAGATCCCTTGTCTTGGTCCTCTCGTCCCACCATACATGCACACTCCTACTACGAGAATCTACTCTGAATGCTACCCACTGAAGACTACATCTAACCCTTCTACATCTACTAACATGTTGGTGCAGCTGTGGCTGCTTTCGCCAGCCAGCGCCTAGCCCCTTCTTTCCTCTTGCGCAGCTTCTTCTGCCAGCGCTTCCCCAGCATGCTAGCGCACAAGTGCCTTTAGCACTTCCACGCAACAATGCCACTGAAGATCTGTCGTGTGGGGAGGCTGGCTAGGTTTCTTATACTGCTGGCCTCCCTTCGCGAGGCCTGCATTGACACACTCGGGTCTTCCCTGTCCCAGACCTTTGCAGTGTGTGTCCCAGTACCTTTTCCTTCACGGTCTGCTGCTGATGCGGCCTTCAGGCCTGAATTTTGGACTTGGGGTTTGAACCTAGACCTCATGTTAGACTTTGACTGGACTGGGACCTGATCTTTGACTTACCTCTGAACAGACATAACTTCAGTCCGAAAGACACACCTACTGCCTGAACAAACACATGCACTGCACGAACAGACATATCTCCTGCTTGAACAGACATGACTTGCACAACCTCTGGATGAATAGATGTGTCTCCCACAATTGAATACTGCATCTGTTCCTCTAGGGGTACAACCGTGACCTTTGACATGACTTTTGCTTTAGTTAGGATGTGACTTTTGACCCAGAGAACATGCCTTTTGATCTGCTTTTCACGAGTTGGGTTCTGGTCGAGTGACCCCACTATGCTGCATTCGTCATTCAGGGTCTGAATCAAGTAAAAGACCCTTTTAAACGAACTGCTGTTGAAATTTTCTCTCCTCTCCGTACTCTCTTCCATTTACTTAGTCATTTTTTTGACGGCACACTTCGTCCCAAATCCAAAACTTAGTTTCTCTTCACTCTCCTCCACCTCCTCATTTATTTTAAATTATTTATTTATTTATTTATTTATTTATTTATTTATTTACTAGGCTACCAGAGTGGGCCAGGTCCACTTGCCCGGCCGGACCAAAAAGATATAAAATATATATATATATATATATACAGGGTTGCCGGCATTCGGGACGGGCTGAACACCCGAACCCAAACGCCCGAACGTTTGGGAGCCCCTCTCGACGCGTTCGAACGTTCGGCCGAACGCGGAACCCAAAAAAAAAAACAAAAAAAAAACGTTCCCAAAACTTCTGAAAACAAAATATGTCATGCAGAAGAATAAACTAAACAACATTTGCCTCAACAGTACATCCAAATTCCTTACCAAATTTGAAATAAATAATATTAATGAAAATAAGAAAAAATAAAACGAGAATGAAATTATTGCGTGGGCGAGCAAGTTTTTGACATTGCCATCTTTGGCGATTTGTCATTATTTTTTGGCTTTGTCAAATGCCATGAAATTTCATACATATGTATGTTACATAATAGATAACCTACAAGTTAAGTTTGAAAAAATAATATTATTTTTCAGGCCCCGAAATAAAGGGAAAACAAAAAGTGAAAAGAAAAAAAAAAAAAATTAGTAAGTGGGAAAGCAAGTTTTGACACCACCATCTTTGCCGATTTTTCATTATTGTTTGGATCCACAGAATGACTTTAAAATGTAGTGAAAGGTAGCTTACATAACATAGAACTCACAAAAAAAAAGCAGAAAAACATAATAATTTTTAGGTACCAAAATAAGTTTTTGCGGGGTCGGAACCCCTTCGAGTTCGGGTCCCGTACGGGGACCCGAACGCCTGAATGTTCGGGGGTCAGCTTAGGGGCCTCCGTATGTTCGGCCTGATAACTCTCTCTCTCTCTATATATATATTTTTTAATTTGCTAACGAATTTCGATGTGACCTTGAGGCAAAAGTTGTTGAGTTTATTTTTCTGCATAACATAGTGTTTTTTTTTTTCAGATCTTTTGGATTTTTTTTTTTTTTTTTTTTTTTTTGGCTGGGACCTCCATTGGTCCTTGCACGACCGGGCCGCCCGGGAAAATAGGGTCACCCGGGCGGCTTGGCTGGTAGCCTAGTTTATTTATTTATTCTTTCTTAAAACTTTAATTTGCAGTATTTTAAAAGTTAGTGTGCTCCTCTTGCTTTTTTCTTCCTCTTGGCACATTTTTGACCCCATGTGGGGTACGAAAACGCTGCCGAAAATTCCAAAACAAAAACAATTCTCTCTCTCCAAACTCTTTACATTTTATTTATTTATTTATTTATTATCTCTTTTATTTTATTTTTATCTTGAAATTTTACTATTTATTAAATTCCCCCCCACCTCCCCTCCCTGGTTGTTATTGTCTGTCCTTGATTACCGGTATTTGGCCAGATAGTTTATGTACTCGTCCCAGTGTTGCTTACCAGCTTCCCGCATCGGTCACTGCACTACGGCCCAGAGCCCTTTCTCCTCCCCTTATCCCCTCACGCCCACCTCAAGGTTCCCTACAGTTCGTTACCCCTCCTCCCGCTATGGTACCCTCTCCGAGTCCTCCACCTCTGACCCCACGCACCCAGCGAGTGGCTACCTTACAGGCTACCGTTGCGAAGCTCCAGGCGGAGACACTCATCCTGAGACAGCATCACCCTTCACAGGCTGCTCACCCTTCATCTTCCTTCACTGCCCCTTCCACTTCGGTCTTGCAAACTCGTTTCCCTCGACCTGCTCCTCCACCTCTACCGTCCTATCTCGCCACCCAGTCACAGCTGCCTGCGGTCGTTGCCTCCACCTCTGTTGGACCTTCCACCAACAGCCACGACCCACAGCCTGCCCACTTAAACCCCTGCACCGGCCTCGACATTTACCGCCGTAATGCAGGCCCATCAACCTTTCTCCCCTCGTTGTCAGCACAACGGTCCCCCCTTTGTGCGCCAGTCGGATATACCCGACTACGATGGCATACTTTGCGTGTCGCATTGGTTGCAGGCCGCCACACGTGCACTGACATCAACAAGCACTAGTCAGAAGTCGTGGTGCTCTCTGGTTGCATCTAAATCTCGAGGCGGCGCTTTCACCGCATGAGAGACCTGTTATACGCATCGTACTCGCATAGGTGAGGCTCCCACTTTCGCAGACTTCACCGCCTTCCTTCATGACCGGTATGGTGTTTGGCACGGCGCGACCGACACCTCAGATAGGGTCACCCAGACCCGATGGCCCGGGTCCTCTGCACCGACAGATCTGGAGCATCGCATCCGGGTGTTTCAGGACACCCGCCTCATTTGAGATGAGACGCTCCTACCAACAGGTTTCTCGTCAGTTTCCCGCCCGGTTACCGCATAGAGCTTTGGAGACAGACCAGAGGATGCGAAGTCGCATTTCCGACGCCCCGTCCTCTTTGCGACGTGCCTCCACCACCCTGTCACGCGGCAGTGCGGCACCGCTCGAGGCCATTCCTCTTTTGCCAACTCGTCTTGGAGCGCCATTCTCTCGACACTATAGTTCTCTCAATTACGGCAAGGACATCTCAACCGAGCTTGACCCTGCCCTTGGGGACGCCCTCGAGGACCTTGAGCTTCGGGATGTCATCCAGTACCACTCGGATGGCGACATCCCGATGGCCGACCGCTTGCAAATGGCGATGTCCGCCATGGGTCGTGCTCGTAGTTGACCTGTACAGGCTAGCACCTGCACATTCGATGGCCCTGAGGTAGACCTTGTGCACGGTTTCGTCCTTCCTCGTGAAGCTCTATTACCTGAGGAGTGCGCCGCCCTCGAGGCCCGTCGCAGTTGCATTCGTTGCCGCCAAGATGGACACACCTCCGCACGGTGTCCATACCATGTCGCCCCCGATGGGCTCTATGCTAACATTTATTGTCAGCGTCCATCTCAGCCCCCCCCCCCGGCGTCGCTCGGCCAGTCCCATCCAGCTAGCCACGATGTAGTGTACCGATGAGGCCTCGCACGGAGCCGGCTTCCTGACCACCGAGTCATGGTTTGCCACTTTGGCTACCATACCAGAGGATCCTCATTACACGTTAGACGCAGTTCTCTCTGCCCCGCCGTTTGTCGAGGTACCGTCTGCCCCACAACAGACCCTCGCATCTAGTCCTTTCCCTTTGAGACTTCCGACGCATCTCGCCATTTGCGCAACTCCTTGCAGCGCTCGCTAGCGACTCGCGATGACGTTGTGTCATCTCTCCCGGATTTGAGCATTCGTCAAGGTCCTCAAGAGCGACTCATGAGACACGTAAACGTCCTCCGTCGTCTTCTCGCTCTGCTCTCTAACCCTGATTGCACCCTCCCCATCATTCCTATTCGCCTCAGTACATCTATGAGGGTGTACCTCGCTTTATGGGACTCCTACTCGCAGGGAGATTTCGTTCACCCTCGCGTGGTTGAGGAAGCTCGTCCAGCTACCTCCGGGTCTAGCTCTCCTATCTCCATTACCCTCAGAGATAACAAGACTCAACGCTTCTTCGATCAGACGGTCCCCGACCTCCACTTTTCCCTCACCCTCCAGCCACCGGATAGTACCCAGGAGCCTCGGCCCTACCATTCTTCCGCATACTTCGACATGCGGGAGATTGGGTACGGCTTTATCCTTCGCACTCCTTGGTCTCGCCAGTTCCGTGGCACAGAGACCGAATGGGTGACCGAGACACTCTTTTTGAAAACGAAGTGTGATCAGACCTATCGAGTCCCCTTCATTGGAACCACGGGCGACACCCCTTCCGACCTACCTCCCCAAGACCCTCGTCCCTCTGGGTCCCACCCAAACATCGCCTTCACTTATCCTCGCTAGTTTTCTCATTTCATACGTCCTCCTAAACGTCATGGACCCTTTGTCCAGAGGTTGAGCTCATCTCTTTGGAGCCCAATCCCCCTGACCCTTCCTCCATCTTTGCGTCTCCCATCTCTACATCCACCCCTCAACCTGCAGATACCCCCTCGACATCCCAGGTCGCAACGCCGTCTACTGTTGAGCCCACACATACGTCTCGTGCAGATGCAAACGTTAAGGAACTTACACGGTTCACAACCGACTTAGAGTTCGCCGTTCGCGACCTGATTCGAGAGTACCGCAACGTTTTCCCTCAGTATTTCTCATACAACGGGATCCCTCTGATGCGTGGTGTTGAGCATTCTATCTAGCTCGTGCCCGACTATCGTGTCCACCATCAGGCACCCTACCCACTCTCGATTCCAGAGGCAACGGAACTCAAGCGTCAACTTGAGGAGCTCCTTCGACTGGTTTCATTAAACCCAATAACTCCCCTTGGGTGCACCTAACTTATTTGCTCGCAAAGTGGATGGAATTCTCTACCTTTGCATTGATTACCGCTGCCTTACATAGTTAAGAACAATTATCCCATGCCTCGCACGGACAAGCTGTTTGACCGTCTGGCAAGCAATCACTTCTTCACGAAGATCGATCTTCGTAGCAGTTACCATCAGATCCGCGTTGCCACAGAGGATCAGCCGAAGACTGCCTTTTGGTCACGCTTCGGCCACTACGAGTTCACAGTGATGCCATTCGGCCTCACCAATGCACCCACTACCTTCCTGACGGTGGTGAACGATATCTTTAGGGACATTCTTGAAGAATACGTTATCGTATGATTAGACGATATCTTGGCCTACAGTCGTACCTTAGAAGACCACCTCAGACACCTACACGATGTCCTACATCACTTACGCAAGCATGACTTCTATGCCAAGCTAAATAAGTGTCGCTTTGCCCAGTGCAATGTGGACTTCTTCGGACACCATATGTCTGACCAGGGTCTCCACACGGATGACGCGAAGATCACTGCTATTGTAGAGTGGCCTGTCCCCACAACCATCAAGCATCTTCACAGTTTCTTAGGCCTCACTATTTACTATAGTAATTTCATCCGAGGATACGCTAGGTATTCCTACGTCCTTACCTCGACCTTCCTCCGGAAGATCCCGCTGTGGTTCTGGACACCCCTCTATAAGGACGCCTTTCACGCCTTCAAGAAGGTGGTAACTTGTGCGCCAGGTTTTTCACCTCCCTGATTTTGATCGTCCCTTCATAGTCACCACTGATGCGTTAGATTTCGCAGGAGGAGCTATGCTTTCTCATGTGTTTCCCTCTCCTCCTGATTCACCTTATCCCTATGTTCCCCACTTCCACCTCCCTCCTGCTGACATTGCTTATCGATTGCCGCCTATCCTTCCCCCACTTCCCTCCACTGAAAGTATCCTCGTCACTAACTCCCCGACCATAGCTGAGGATGGAACTTTCGAGGCTCGTGTTGGGGATTGCCCAATCGCTTTCTAATCCCGTCAGCTAATGTCTGCCAAAATAAACTATATTGTTGATGAACGTGGGGTTCTTGTAGTAGTTTACGCTACTCGGCACTGGCGTCATTATCTGCACGGGGTGCCCTTCACGGTGCGCACAAACAACTCAGTTGTCCAGACTTTCCTCATGAAGCCCAAGCTTTCCCCTCGACAGACACGCTGGTGGTGTGATTTATCCGAGTTCAGTTTTACCACTCAGCCTCTCAAGGGTGAAACGAATCGCGTCACCGATGCCTTGTTCCCTCGTCCTGACCACCATTGGGAACCCATCCACCTTTCTGCTATCTCGGTCACCACAGTTGATCAGTCGGTGATCGGTGTGTATTGCACTCAGTACCACCATTGTTTGTATTATCGTGTCATCCTTGCGACGCTGTGGAGTGGCAAGACCGTTCCTTCATACTCCCTCGGTGAGAATGGTCTCTCGTACTCTCATTGTAAATCTGGTCAACTAGAACCATGTATCTGCGTTCCCTACACTAGACAACTCTGTATCCAGGCCGTAGCAGAGTTCCATCACCAGGCAGTTGTTGGTCATATGGGCTTCCACTAGACGTTGGCTCGTGTTTGCCGCCTATACGTCTGGCCGAAGTCCAATGACTTTGTCAAAGCCTACGTCCAGGAGTGTCCTACTTGCGAAGAGGTGAACAAAGCGAATCACCTTCCGTATGGGTTACTTTAGCCCCTACCCATACCTGAGGGTCGTTGGCAGTCCATCTCAATGGATTTTGTTGGTCCCCTCTGCCCACCTACTGAGCGTGGTCATGATGCTATCTTGGTCGTCCTCGATCGCTTCATGAAGCGTGCACGTTTTGTCCTGTGCCGCTATCGCATTAGCGTCCAACATCATCTTCCACCGTATCGTGAGAGATCATCTTCGACCATGACCCACGCTTTACCAACACATTCTGGTGACGCCTACACGAGGTGTACGGATCCCAGCTCTGCTTCTCGTCATCTTACGACGCTCAGACGGATGGTTAGATTGAGGTCACCAACAAAACTCTGGATAATATCCTCTGAAAGTTTATTAGGGATGACCAGCAGTGGGACTTACACTTAGCCCACGCGAAGATTGCGCACAACCACGTCATTACGCCAGCCACGGGGATGTCGTCATTCTATTGCGACCTCGGCCACCACCCTCGGGTACCCGCGAATTTCCTATGACCATCGAGGTTGCGCCCAAACACTTGTTGTCCTGCACGTGACGACCGGATCACCCACATGGCGGTCATTATGAGGCGCGCACACGAGAGTCTAGTCGACTCCCAGACTCGCATGGGCACACGAGCGAACCGATCACAGCTGGATCATCCATTCAAAGTCGATGACGATATGCTCGTCGACGCACGCCACTTGCAGCTCGAAGCGGATACGCTTTGCAAGTTCAAGCGTCGTTTCTTCGGTCGATGTCGCATCCTTCAGGCCGCCGGTTCTGATACTGCCGCTAGCCCGACCAGCTTCCATGTGAAGCAACCTGATTACCTTGTTGCGTCCTTCTCACAAACCGTCCGAGCTCTTCGCTGGACGTCCTTATGAGCGCCCTCCACCTATCATGGTGGGCAGTCACGAGGAGTTCGTCGTTTTCGACATCGTATCTCGCCGAGTACCGACGATACCCCTCCACACATCGAGTACCTTGTGCGTTGGAAGGGTTATCCTGATGAGGAGGCTACTCGGGAGCCCCTCGAGCACTTGGAGCACGCCCGGATCTTGGTGCGTGCATGTGATCGTGCTCGTCATGCTGAGATATCTGCTCGTACTCAACTGATTGCCCTCTCCCTCCTCCTTCGGCTGAGGAGATTGCTGAGGACGAGCCCGCTCCCTCTGAGGTCATTCTTCAGCAGCAGACGAACGCCTCCACACGTCCACAAAGCACTCGACAACGCCCTCGGCGTCTAGATGACTGACACTCTGTTCACCTACTATTTTCCTACTGACTCACACCTTCAGGTACTTCATCATCAACTTCTTTAGGATGCCAACGTTTTGCGGTTGTGCTTCGACATCGACTCAACTCCTATTTGATCGTCGTCATCAACCATTTCGAGGACTTCAGCTACCTTATCGGCTTCAGCTACTTTGGACGTGACTTCTTCACGCCACCACCCTACCTTGTGCGTTCCTTTGTATGAGCCGCATGATGATTCTCACTTAGCTGGTTCTCCCTGAGTTGTTCTCTCCCGTGGTTTTGCGTAGGTATTGGGACCGTAGTGTTATCTTGGCTTCCCCTCTCTCAGATTTGACTTCCTCCCTAGTCGGTGAGTTGTGTGCTCGTTTCCATGACCCACTACCCTTATCACCCTTATATCGGCCATTGCATGCCTCCAGTTAGGCGTATGTCCACCTTATCCCAGACTCCCCTTTCACGGTCGACCATGCATGGTGTCACCCTTTTGTCGAGCATTAGCCGCCTTGATGGTCTATCTATCATGGTCGTTGTTTTTTTTTCGCTACCATTTCCTCACCCTAAGCCTAATGACTTGTCTCATCCTCGTGTGTGACTGCCCTTAGGAGTTTTGATTCTTAGGCTGCATTCACCCCCTCTGAGACAATCCCACTCTTAGTGGTTCAATGACACACATTATCTTGTGACGTACTGCGACCTTTTCCTTTCAGCACTGAGGCAGTTGCCTCTAGGGCTTTCGAAATTTACCCTGCTACCTACGAACCCCTCCCGAAGGCGGCCATGCGAGGCTGCGACCGCGACTTTGAGGCCGCATGGCGGCCAGTATGGGGAGGGGAGGGGGGGGGGGTTCGTAGGTAGCAGGGTACAATTCTAAGGAACGCGTGAAGAAGGTACGCCACCACCCTTTGGACGTGACTCCTTCACGCCCAAAGGAACGCACAAGTTAGGGTCCTGGGATTTTGTTTATTTTTATTTTTTTTTGGTTGGGGTTTCCCCTGGTCCTTTCACGACCGGGCCGCCTGGGGAAATAGGGTGACCCGGGCGGCCCGGCTGGTAGCCTAGTTTACTTATTTATTCTTTTCGAAAACTTTAATTTGCAGTATTTTGAAAGTTAATGTGCCCCTCTTGCTTTTTTTTTCCTCTTGGCACATTTTTGACCCCATGTGGGGTACGAAAATGCTGCTAAAACTTCCAAACAAAAAACAATTCTCTCTCTCTCCTCACTCTTTACATTTTATTTATTTATTTATTTATTTATTATTATTATTTTTTTTTTTCATTTTGAAATTTCGCTATTTATTTAATTTCCCCCCCGCTCCCCTCTGCAATCAGATTCTGTATCTTTCACACTTCTCATGCATGCAAACAGGTGCGCAGCAAACTGGCGACAAGCGCCCACTCAGAACTCAGAGATATGGTAGCCGAGAACACAGTTCAGATACAAGTTCACTTCAATGGCTATGGCGACACAACGCCCACACAACTCTCTGTTCGCACACACATGATCACCCTGGATATCCAACACACGTTACTTTGTACACACATACACTGCATGCCATCTATAGCTATGGCAGCTATGGCCGCTGCTACCTTATTGCTATGGCTAAGCTTCTTCTCTCTCGCCCACTTCATCGTCGGGCTCATTGCAAACCACCTCGCACAAGTCGATGTGCCAGCGCTTCCGCATGGCTTACGCAGGAATGAATGAATGACTAGGCGCTGCTCTTTAATTTATACTTTTGTAGCTCGTTGGTCTGGCCCTTGCCCATGCCCGTGGTGCACACAGTCTCATGTGGTACTCGCTTGACTGGACTAGGACTGATGACTCAGCACGGGTAGACTCCACCATGTGCCCACTTGCCTCAGCCTAAACGTGAGCAACTTCGAAAGGCCACTGCTAGGACCTTCCGCGAGGCCGTAGACTTGGCCTTTCGATACTGTAGCAGCTAGGAGCTTGACCTTTCTGGACTGTAGCAGCTACGACTGCTAGACCCTGCTAGGACTCCTACCCGACAGGTCTACGGATCAAACCCGTACTGTCTACGGATCCTACGACAGTCTACCAACTGTTACGAATACACAATTCACGGGTTCAACTCTAGGGGTCGACACAAACACTATACGCAGGTAAGGTGAGGACTACGAATCGAGCCCTGGGATCTGCATTGGCTACTGCGAACTGGTGAATACCGTTTCACTCCCGCCGACCTAAATTCGAGGTCCTCTGAGAATAACTCAGTCCAAGGCAAGACCTTTACCTTTCTTATCTCTCTTGTAGACCTTAACTATGTCGGGAGCTGTTTCTAGAAGTTATGCTTTCGTAAGCCAGCGGTCGTCCTCCGGTTCCTGATAAGCAAACCAGACCTTATACTGCTTTTGTGGACGGCCTCTACCTCCTGTTCTAAACACGTCTTCACCTACAATGTCGTCAATGTCGTATCTTCGATCCATGTCGGGGGGGATCATGGATCTCCAAGACGGAAACTGTTGACTCGTGACACACGGCGGCAACTTTGATGCATGAAATACAGGGTAGGTGTGGAGGTGTGCTGGAATCTCTATGGTGTAGCGGCCCATCTTCTCCGCCTTTGACTTCTAGAACTGGCCACGGTCCTCTGTACGCAGGCAGTAACTTCTGCAAGATGTTTTCCTCATAGAACTAAATTTGTATCTCTTTGGACTTAACCAGACTAAGTCGCCTACTTGGAACTGTGACGGACGGCGGTGCTGATTAGCCTGGTCTATCATCCGGGGTTGGGCCTTCCTGAGGTTATCAACAATTGTAGCTAGCTCTCTGTCGTGCTGTATCGCAAACTCCCTGGCACCGGGTGGTAGCCTGTGAATCTGATCCCGGTTAAGTCCCTCAAACGGTCTACGCGGTCTAGAGGACTTGTGCAATTCATTGGGAGTGCGACAGGTGGACACGTGCACGCTGTTATTGTACACACTGGCTACCTTGGGCAACATCTCATCCCAATTGAATTGATCGGGTCTAGTATACATGCGCAAAACTTGCTGCAGGATCTTGTTCATCTGCTCGGTCTGACCGTTAGTCTCTTGATGGCGGCTAGATGACATCAACAACTTGGATCCGAAGACTTCCATCAGTTCCTGCCAGTTCTGGCTGGTGAAGCGGGTATCTCTATCACTAACAATAGACGATGGGACGCCATGCTCACTAACCCAAGAATCAAAGAACTTCTAAATAACTAGCTCGGTGCGTGCCTCTGCAGGCAAAGGAACAAAAACAACATATTTGCTAAATCTATCAACTACGACCATGACTTGGTTCTTGTCGTGCCTACTCTTGACGCCGGCGTCCATAAAGTCAATGGACACTGAATCTCCTGGCTGATCAGGAATAGGCAAGGGTCTGAGAAGACCTAGAGGGGCACGGGTCATGGTCTTATTTCTTTAGCAGACTTTACAACCGCGGACGTACTCTATGCAGTCGTTCTTCATTCCTGGCCACGTATATGCATGCATCAGGTTAGCTAAAGTCTTTTGCCAACCGAAGTGTCCCTCTGTGTCGTGGTATTCCCCCAAGATCAAACTACGGATCTCCTCCCTATTGGGAACGCACAGACGGTCTACGACATTAGTCCTCTCAAATAACAACCCCTTTGTAGTGCGGTAATCTGGCTCGGTCTCTGGGGCCTCCTTGACTCTCTTCAGGAGGTCACTATAAATAGGGTCCTGCGCATACGCCTGTCTAACTTTCTCCTGCAGGTCACTCCCTATGTCCAGATAGTGAGCTATAGCTCCAAAGTAGTCTGATCTCCTACTCAGAGCATCCGCAACTACATTGTACGTGTCCTTAACTGGCTTGAGCTCAAAGTCGGCCCACCTGGTTAACTTAGGTGTCATCTTGGCTTGTGTCTTCAGCCATCTAAGGGTCTCATGGTTTAAATACACCTTGAAGTGCCTCCCAAGCAGGTAATGCTTCCAATGCTCTAGGGCCTTCCTGAGAGCGTAGAGTTCTCTCTCGTACGTCGAGGTAGCGACCTTCTCTGAGGGGATCCTCGCTGACATGAAGTCTACGGGCCTATAGCCATTGTCGTCATCCTGCTGTAACACGGCGCCTATACCATACTGACTCGCGTCCGTGGTAACGACAAATGGCAAAGATGGATCTGCTACTTTGAGGACAGGGTACTCTATCAACGTGCGCTTCAATTTCTTTAGCGCAGACGTGCAGTCTCTATCCCACTGCCAGATTGTCTCTTTCTTAAGCAACCTGCGAAGGGGAGCGGTGATAGTTGAGAAGTTCCTCACGAACTTCCTATAGTAGTTAGCTAGGCCTAGGAACGACCGCAACTCTGTCAATGTGCGGGTTGTCAGCCAATCTCTAATCGCCGCTATTTAGTTAGCTAGGCTTAACTAGTCAAGCGAATGCGGGAGCACTGAGACAGCAATGTGCCAAGGTGTTGTGTACACCTGACACATGGAATAGACAGGCAGTCTTGACCTCACCTAGCGTACTAGGGAGCCTACACTCATGCTCTCTCAGATGAAGTATGGCCCCTGCTGCCTCTCCCCAGTCCATACCTAGGACTATATCTGAAGGAAGGTCATCCTGAACGAGGAGAGTCAGGGAATGGAGAACTTTCTCCATCTTCCCATCTTTCTCTAGGCGGAAATATGCCTGGACTCCCTCTACGTAGTCCTCAATACGCATAGTGCGGTTGTCTGCGAGGACACTAACTATGGGGTCTTCCAACTTCTAGACCTTCAACCCTAGCCTTAGCTTCTTCAGCGCTTTACGGCTAATATAACTGCGGGTGGCCCCTGAATCTATAAGGGCCGCTACTCTACTCCTGAAAATAACTACGTCAACTAAAACTAGTTGTCCTTTGCTTTCCTTCTTCATTTTGGCCCAGGCAGGCATCCTCTCCTTCAACTCTTCTGCCACGCCTGTAAGGGAAGTGCCTAGAGAGACGTTAACACAAGTAGTCTTTGGACAACTAACTAGGCACTGACCTGCAACCTCTGCCGAAGGCTCATGTGGTGTGGGAGTTTCCTCTCTGTGCGCGCTCGCTTCCCCACATGGCCTAGCAGTAGGGGCAGTTGTGACCCCTACCGGTGGCTGCCTTTTGACTCCTGGGCAGCCCATCGGTCCTGTCTATACTTAGGACAATATTTGATTATGTGGGTCGGGTCACCGCAGTAGATGCACTGACCCTGATCCACACGTTGCTGCCAGACTCTCTGATCTAGGCCCAAATCTTCCCATGGCCTGCCCTGTGGCAAGCCTGGGTGCCATCCTCCTCTCCTTTGAGGTGATCGTCCACCTCGTCGCTGCGGTGATCGATTGGGACCCTGACGATTTGGCGGGGGACCTTGACCCCTACCTCCCTCTTGACGGTCCCTTTGACCGCCAACCCCCTGCCCGCCCGGTCCTCGACCTCCCCAGGCCTGGCCCCTTTGGCCCTGGCCCCCTCTACCTTGTGGCCTCCCCTGGCCCACACCACTGTCCTCCTCCTCAAGTCCTCACTCTATCTGACTGTAGGGGACCTCATCAGTACCACCTTCTTCTAACGTAAGGATCATATGATCCTTGGCCCTAACCGGACCAAAGATGGTATGCCTTTTCCACTTTTTCCCCTTATCTAAGTCCTTATGCCAGAAAGTGGACACTGACAGGGACTTCGCTTCATATTGCGCCACCTCTCTACTCAATGCGTCATACGTCATGGTGGGTTGTTGACTTTTATCAAAGAAATGCCCTCGTAGACCAGTTGGGCCTCAGTGACCCCATGGTCCGGGACGGCTACCAGCTCGTCCATAACCGCTTTGAGTGCTCACTCACTCCTCCACTATCGTGAGTGGATAGTTTGGAGTTTATCAGAGACCTTAACGCCCCTTCTGAGATCAGCGAATGGCTCCCTGAGGAGCTTGAGGAATTGAGGGAGGGTGGTGACTTTGGAGTATGCGACCATGTTGTTCTCACAACTGGCCGCGCGCGCGAGGGATCTAGCGAAACTAGCTGCTTCGTCTTTCAGGGCGTGGAAGGCTACTAGGACCTGTTCGTCCTGTACAATGTGTTGTAAGTAAACATAGCTGTTCACACTAGCCTCCCAATTATCGAAATTCTTTTTGGGCTTCCCGCCATACGCATCTGGGAACTCGAGCTTTACAGGTTCCTTGCGGGGTCTAGCCTCAGTCTCAGCGGTGGCTATAGCTTTAGCGCCTTCCAAGGCGCCGGTACTGAATTTCTCTGCACCCTCTTTCAGTCTTTGGACCTGTGACCCCAAAAGGGTCACAATATTGTGCGCAAAATCTCGAAAACCCAGTCGAACGGAGTGCAGGGCCATATCTTGGCCCTGGCTAGTTAATTGTTGTTCGGTCCAAGCCTGACCCAAAATCTCTATGCTGGTCAGAATCTTATCCAGCTTAGCCTGGATATCCTGGTGGGCTTCTACTTCCTTCCTACAGGAATGCACCTTCTCCATCTCTTTTGCCATCCGGCTGGCTTCCTCCCTCCTTCTTTTCTTCTCCCTTGCCAGATGCAATTTCCACTCCAACTTATTTTCATTCTCTAGCGCCTGGCGGTCCAGGGGGTTGTCCATTGCCTCAAATTCCCTGACTACAACATCCTTCTCCTCTTGTGGAACATATAACATCGCCTCCTCTTCTTCTCCCAAACTTAAATTAGGTACCCACTCACTAATATTTTTCTCAATCCCGGAATCTTCTTCCTTCGTGCCACTGCTTTCTCCTCTTTCCCTCGTACGCCTCCTTTCGAGGGGTTCTGCTTTTTCTCCTTCCTCCTCTTCGGCTGCCACTTCTTCTTCAGCAACCTCCTTCTTCTCTTCCTCCTCTTGTTGGAGTCTCCTCAACTCTTCCTCCAACTTCTTCTCCTTTGTCGCCTGCTCCTCCTCAATGGCCTTCATCTTCGCCTGCCTGAGGAGCTCCTTCTTCTCCTTCCTCTCCTTCAATATGGCGGCCATCTTCTCTTCTTGAGCCTGAGTATAGGGGGTGGTGCTCTTCCCTGTACGGGTGTCAACCATGGTGATAAGTGCACAACCGGGTTAACGGTTCCAAACCTTACCACTTAGACTCTAACCCCTGACTGATACGAAACCTACTGACTCAATCTAAAGGACCACAGAATCTTGGACAAGATTCTGTCAACTAGGGTCACTAGCCTAGACCTAAACTATGGCTGTCACTATAGGACTCCACTGCTGATCAGGAGGCATTTAAGGAGATCCCCCATAACTCCTCAGGAATTCCTTAACATCGCAAACAGGACGACGCGATCAGCAAGTCCTCTCAAGACGTAGATGGCCTGTTGTGCAGCCCACAGCTCGGATTTTAGGCCTACCGTGCCACAACGAGCAGCCCGCCGGTCAGTACCGGTCCTTGGGAGGGTTTGTGTCCTCCGGGACAGTCGAGTCGTCAAACACAGTCTTTAGCCCTACTCAGCCCGTGTGGGTTTGGTCAACAAGGCCCTGTCCTTCATCCACAGAGTTCCTATCACCTGGACAGAAGAGACTCAATGCAGAAATAAGAGACAGACATACATGACTCAGCAAGTACCATAGGGTGTGTGCACATCCATAGGGCGAGGGGATAGGCTGAAGGCTTGGCGAGATTATACCGGCTCCAGCTTGGTCAAATTTGTG